GTGTCCTAGTGAATCCAAATAAAGCATAGGCCAATGGGAGATTGGGGACATGCATTGAAGGGGAAAAATAATTACAAGTACAAGTCAAATTCAATCACACACAAATGCAAATAGAGTGAGATGCAATGCATGCTAAAGTCACTCCCCGTTTTCATTCTCAAAACCATCACGTTCAAAGTTAATGTAACACCCTTTGGTAACCCCGCCGCGACGAGAGGAGGATTGGCTACCGTCCCTAGGCCCTTGGTGACCCCGTGGCGCCATCGAGGGGCCCGAATAGCTCAACCACGCTAGGGTACTCTCCCTAGTCCTCCCTAGGCTACATTAACCTTCGGCCCGTTGGTAACCCCGCAGCGACCGGGTTTGTCAAAACCAATTTTTTTCCAAAACATTCATTCCCAAATCCCCATTTTCATTTCAAGACAACCACTTCCCTTTTTCATGCAACCCAATGAGATGTAGGCTCATGTCATGATTTCAATATAATGACAAATGGGAACTTAGCACAATAATAAATAAGCATGTTCTCATGGCATCATTATAGCATGTTAGTAACCTCAAAAAAAAAAAAAAATGTAAACAACCATCACATAGACATACTTTTTCATTCAACCATGTTATACACATTTACATAACTAGCATGTTGTCAATTAAATCATTTTAATCAAAATCAACAACAATTAAACATGCTATAACACACATAAAGGAGCATGATTCATTATAGAGCAAGATTCCATGGCTTAAGATGTCCCTACCTCACAATCCAAGCCGAAATCCCTAGAATAGGTCCTCCAAATTCGAGCTCCAAGGAAGACTCAAAACTGAAAATTGATAGTATGGATGCGTAGAGCTCGCTACAAGCTTCGTTTCGCCTCAAACGGTTCCTAAATCCGATGAAAGATGATTGAGTAATCAAACCTCAAAGTTTTTGTCTCCAAAATGAAAGAAAAAGAGAAGGAACCGAGAGGGAGAGAGAGCATACGGGAAAGAGAAAGAAAATGAGAAAGAAAAGAAGATTTCTTGGCCAAATAAGTTAGTGGTGGGCCCCACTTGAAATTATTTTCCTTTTCTCTTTATTTTTTTGTCTCTAATTACACCACAAATACACAATTGCACCATACAAATGCTACATCACCACATAAATTAAAATGTAGGAAATGTAACTGGACCCAACCACAAACCCGGATGGTAAAGTGAAAAGACGAAAATGCTCTTGCATTAACGAATTTTCAGAAAATTCTAAAATGCTAAAAATTAGAATTATCACATACTAGTTACCAAAACAAATTAAAAGTGCTTTAGTTGGGAATGGTACTTTATAAAATGTATCACCAAACCCCTAGCTTGCCTTTTATTTACAACAATTTTATAACAACTCTAGTGAGAGCGATTTTTTCGGCAAAACTGCAATGCCAAATGGCCCTTGTTCCTTCTATCTTTATATTTCTTTGTCTGTCTACTCATCCCTTCTTCTAGTCTCACCTCTTCTTCTATCTTCTCATCCCAATTTTTATTTTTTATTTTTTTTCTTCTGGTCTTGCATCACGAATTTTTGGTATGGATGAGGTATTTGATTATCTTCTTGTGTAGTGCTCTATCAGTATAATTTTTATTCTTTCATGTCTTCACTTGTGACCAATATTACATGAACTCTTCAAAAGTATGTAAAATACCAATGTCAGACCCCAATACTCGGATATGGCTATGAAAACGCGTCTAATACTTTTGGTGGACATGCACCTCAAAACGTATCCAATGATTCAATTTTATTATATTATTGGTGAAATGTCTATATTATTATTAATTTAGTTTTTATGTGGTTGTTCGAAAATTTGATGTGTATACATACTACCCACACCCGACAAACGTAGTTGAACTGGGAAAAATAAATTATGAGTGGTATGATGGTTTGGTATTTGTATAATCTTTTGGAAAGCGAGTAACTACTGTGGGCATTAAGCAGAATAAGGAGAGAGATGAGTCTCTAAATTTTGGTGTTTGTCCATGACAGGAAATCTTGATTCTTCTGGAGTTGTGGCTTCTAGCTCTTCTTAGTGTTGCAGCAGCTTGTAGCAACATCATTTGACAAGCAAACACAAGGGTAAAATTTTAGTTGGTTGGATTAGAGTCTTCAGATATTGGCACATAAGACCTTGTTTTTATAATTGTGGGATTTGTGAACTCTTTGAATGTTGAAAATTACATGTGATTAATGCAGCACGCGGTGTGCTTCATACGGTAGAAGTTTTATAGTTGATGGAATTTGACTGTTTAAGCGTGTTAATTAATGGGTTGTTTATCTATATGGTTTGATTGGTAGTATTATTGGATACTCCCTCCATTTCAAATACATGACCGCTAGTTCACAAAGCGGTTATGTATTTTGGGACGAAATGATCACCACAATTTTCAAAACGGTCATGTATTTTGAGACAAAGGGAGTATTATTTATTTACAAGTAGTCGGTTTGCTCAAAATTACTTTATCAATGATGATATTTAGCATGTATGGATCACAAGTCTAGTCATACATTTGGCTTATTGTTGCAAATTCATTCCAGTAGTTCAACAGACTCTATTAATTGAAAGGATAGAAAATCAATGTTGGTTTACTTCTTTTAAATGGAGTGGAATTGGGCAAACAGTTGTGGGCAAACAGTTGCCAGTTCAAAATAGCGAACGTCTGCAATTCGGATTCATTTGAGTTTGCAGATTCGGATTTACTTGAGTTTGTATTATGCAAGTAGTATCCCCGTCTAATGCACAATCATAATTACTCTCTCAAAGGGAGAATAATACATATTTTGAATATGGAAATATACATTTGTTGCGACTGCGACTGTCACAACAAATAGGAAAGTTCTTTCAAGAAATATGTATAATTTCAAAGGCTAATTTTTTCAATAATATCTTTTAACAGACCAAAATGGACGAATAGGAAAAAGGTAAGTAATCAAGGGAAAATTCTCCCACCAATCCGGGCGTGCCAGCTGTACCTTGTGGTCATTACATGGATAAACAAGTGTTGCTCCTATATATATATATATATATATATAAGAATTTCAAGAAAGCAGTATTATAAATTAATTGGTTGTATTGCCGTTCTTCTTCAACTTCTTTTCATTCCCCCTTCTCACCATTTCAAGAATCTATTCTTTTCACTCTTGACTTTCCCACCCGAGATGAGAGAAGAAGGGTTCCCACCCGAGAGTGGTACATGAATATAAAAATATATATCCTTGATTATATATTAAAATCACTATGCTTCAGCTTAGAGGTAACAAACTTATTTCTAATTTTAAAAATATTAAGTTTGCTTTCCAACTAAAATGAATAATAATAATAATGGATTTAACCATTAAACTTTTGAATCTCGATCTTTGACAAGTGACTAAGTGAGGTGAGCTTTATTTACTGGAAAAAAAAAAAAAAAAAAAAAAAAAAAAAAAAAAAAGGAAAAGTGAGGTGAGCTTTGGTTTTAAAGTTCCTTTAGTTTAGCATTTCAATAATTTTTTAATTATTTTGGATGTAGAAATTGGAATATCCTCCTAAAGTTAGGAGGAAATTTTTCTGAACCAATCAAGGCACTGACATTTATTTAATTTCAATTCAACACTGGCAAAGAAGTTCTCTTTATCTAATATATATTATTCCAAGATATCTACTATTGTTTGATTGATGTAGTTTACTGCCGTCTCTAAAGCATGAATGTTATTAATTGATTTTGAAAATCTATTTTATTTTTTAGAGTTCAACTTGATATATCATGTTTTTCTCATTTTCTCCATGATTATGAATTTCTTGTATGTGAACCACTGCAGAAGCCACTTCTTCTTAACATATTTTATCCTTTATGGCAATTCTCTTGACGACGACGACGACCAAAAAAAAAAAAATTACAATTTCTATTATTTTGATAACCCATTACTTTATGGCAATTCTTTTGATGTATATGCTTTTATTTGTTGTATCTTGAGAAAATTTTGTGTGGGATTTCTGTTGACCTGATTTATAAGAAGAGGAGGGAGGAATTTCGAGATAGTTTGGGGATGCAGCTATTTTTGCATAGGTTTTGTTCAGATCTCTTGTTCTGGTTTCCTGCTTAGGATTTTTGCAATTAGTTCTTTCTGGTGGTATGTTAATTTGGTTGTTTTAATGAGCTGATTTATAATTCTAGTGCTTGAAGTTTGTTGGATTTACGAAGAAAAAAAAAAAAAAAAATTGAAATCTCAGTGAGTCATTCTCATTTCACACTTTAGAACTGTGAAATCGAACTGGTTCCTAACGGATCGATTTAGTTTCAATTTTTATGAAACTGTTTGGACTAAATAGTTCCAAAATACTTTCAGACTGGTCCGAATTGAACCTTGTGCACCCCTACTTCTTCTACAAGTCTGTTGACTTTTATTTTTTTTTTTCTCTAAAATGTAACAAGTATGAACTGCAATACTGTTTACATGATTCACTTACAAAAATAAACAATCAAGTTATAAATTAACTTATGCTCTCCTCGGTTTTCTTCGGTTCCTGGTCTTCACTTCAAACAATTGCACGTGCTAGTTTTCTTTTTCTTTTTCTTGTTTTTTTTTTTAAAAAAAAAAAACTTTATTTATTGTTTAACTGGGCTTGCTCAAAACAATAGAACAATATCTGAAGACAATTTGGAGGAACGCTATTTGTGAAATTGAAATTGGATTTTTTTCACTTGTGCAAAGGTCATATGGAACAGATGGATTTTGTTGAAAATCTTAACTCCTCAAAATAGGTAAAGTACCTGTCAGGTTCACAATACTTGGCTATGAAAATGCGTCCCAACACTTTTGATTAATTATGCACCTTAAATCTTATGCAATGATTCAATTTTATTATATTATTGTTTTCCGAGTAGTGAAATTTCTATACGAGAGACCCTACCTGATAAAACTCTTTTAAGAAAGGAGACATTAGGAATTTCAGTATTAAAATAAAATATAAATCAAGAGGATAAGAATGAAATGAAAATCCAACTAAACCCAGGCGTGCATATCATCACCCAATATTCAAATATAATATCTTTATATATAAAATAATTAAGTGAATTGCACTAAAAAAAAAAAAAAAAAAGTCCAATATAACCGTCTTGCCAATTCAACATACTTAGAAAATATATTTTAACTGCATAAATGAAATGAATGCCACATACATCTACAAAATTTTCAAATAACTTCAAGAGTTCCCATCTAAACTTCTGATTTATGGTCATTCTTTCCCCTCCCCCCTTCTCTTCTATCCACATAAATTATTCTTTTCTGAATCTTCTCCACAATTCACGCTCACCTCTTTGATATTTTCTTCTCCGTAGAACTGCAGAAAATATCAATGAAATTTAATATGCATCAAATGGTCGATATAAAGAATGGTTTTAGCCGTGAATATGTACGTTTTGAATGAAAATAAAATATATATATATATATATATATATATATATATATATATTTGTGACCAAGAGACTATCTATTTGTCGATCACATCAGTGGTTAGCTAGAAATTGAACTCATGCTTCTTAATGAACTTGAGAGTGTCAGGCATCAATGCCATATACAACAGATATAATGCAGTTGATAAACTAAAATTAGAAACAAAGAAGACAAAAAAGAAGAAACTGTATACCAGAATGACTGAATGTAGCAAAATATATATATATATATATATATATCCCTCTGACTGAATGACACGTAGACTGACCTCATAATTCCATTTCTATCCAGATTCCTTGAAGCAGCCTTTTCCATAATGCTTTTGTAATATTGAGCAAATGCAGTTTTGAGGGTGGATTCAAGCTGCCCATAGATCACTTATTGATGTCAGATGAAGTTACATTTGTCAAATCCTAGAAAATAAAGTGTTGACAGTTGAAAAAGAGCGTAAACCTGAAGAAATAATTCAACAGATTGATGATCTTTTGGTGAAAAAGCAACTTCTTCTCTTTTCTTCTGCACAAACTCAACATTCAGCTCCACCTGCAGACCCATATGGGTTATATTGTGAAATATCATAACCATCCATATGGCAAACACTAGTGGAAATAGCTTTATGCATTCAATAATATATTTACCATTAGGTTCACAATAACCAATACACAAGTAGTATTTTGATATTCATTCATCAGGTGGCAATATGGTGCCTAACTTATCTGGATGACACAACCATTCAAGCATCAAGCCAAACTCAATTTTTTGGCCAACCCCATCTATAAGGTTGGAGCCCACCTTATGAAAAAACATCCTTCGATTTCCCAAGGCTGGTTTTGGGTAGAGATATTCAAATTGGTTTCCTAGTGGACTTCTACTTATTAGCTTTACTGTAGCACAACATAAATATGCTTTCTGAAAAAGGAATTATCTTAGCTCAGGTATCTTAAAACATTTTTTCCAAATAGGTTCTGATATCCAACCTGCAACAACTAAAATTTATTCTTTGTTAAGACGAGCAGGAAAATGCAGGCAGCACACAGATTTACACACTTCCACTAGGACCAAGTCCAAGCTAGTTTAGAGCCTAAACATCAGCTCTATCTCGGGCTTCAACTAAGAACTGGAAAATTGTGCTAGGTTTGCTTCTGATATATGTAAAATTAAAGGGCCTTTAGCCCATTTGCTATCCAAGTAAAAGGAACCTACGCTCAAAGTGGCTCAACCTATGCTCAAAATGGATTCCACGAACAACAATTAGGCTGCCTTGGCTTGCATTGCCTCCAAATGTGGAGGCTGAGAATAGAATTCTTTGTCAAGGAGAAAGATATTCAAAAAAAAAAAAAAAACGGAATTATTCGAAAGTGGCACATACCTGATCAATCAAACGCTTCACCACACGCCGTAAACTTTCAATGGATGTTACTTCATGAAACTTTCTTAAGCGGATGAGTGGAATAGTTGCTAGCTCAGGGAAGGAAATGTGGTAACTCCACTGAGCAAAGTGGACAACGAGAAGTTCAATGGAAGCTAAAACTCTTTCCTCTTGGAAGTCTCTTGATTTTAACCAAAATTTTGGCAACTGCACTACATGTGAATTAGTAGTATTAACTATAATTTGTGGAAGTATTCTTATTTTTACAGAGACGAGAAATAGAAGTGGCAAACTCAAGAATGCTACTAATTTGATTCTGCACTAACCTTTACGGTAGATGAAAAGTTGATGGCCTTTCCTGGTTTCCCAGCCTCCTTCCCAATGTTATATTCCAAAATATCCAAAATTAGTGAAGCAACAGGGATGAAAATTCCACTAGTATTGGAGAGATGATTTAGCCATTGGATGCATCTAAGTCTTAAAGGGAAATATCTCGGCCCAGTAAACAGGCAAGCCACTCCATTTATGAGCTGCACAGTCGTATAAAACAAAGGCTGAAGATCACAATCATGTATGTTGGCCGATATGAACATAACCCACAGATCAATACAGTTAACATACTGCCAACTGCATATCTTCTTAACCGCTTCCTGTCCACAAACATCAACAAAAAGAGCATGGAAGCCCATTCACATCATATTGCATGATTCAAGCAACCATTCATAAGAGAGGTCACTTCATGTACAATCTAAATAAGTAATTTGTTAGATCTCCAAAATTTAATGAAACAAAACAGCAGAGAAAGGCATGCCACACTATATACCTTCTTTGTTTGTAGACCTTGTTGCAGTATCTTAGCAAGTTGCTGGATAGACACAAGAGCCTTGCCGCATGATCTCTGTAAATCTAGAGAGCATACCTCAACAAGGGAGTTCCTCAGGTACTGTATATGTTCAATATTGATGGGTTCCATAAATTTGCAGTGAGCAATATAGGATTTATACATTTTTATTAAACAGATGTCAAAGAACTCTGAGGTAAACACAACAGCCGCATCCCGTATGATGAGGAAGGAACAAGATGAAAGAGCCCCTCTGCCTGTTGCCCACAAGTGAACTGCTATCTACATCAAAATTGTAAGAGTTCAAAAGAATGACCTACCACAACATGAGACTGGCAAATGCATGAAACCAGGGAGACCTCAATCTAAAGTTTCGCATTGAAGTATAGAAGTTTGACCGTTATACAATTCTTTGTGAATAGGTCCAAAAAACTGTCATTATTTCTTACCTTCATAAAATATTATCAATAACTTGATAATATAAATTACATCTAATTTAACTTACAAGAAGAATAATTGAAAATTTCATTGTTCCCAACTCCCCATGAATTCATCTTTATAAATATTATTAACTTCACCATAGCTTCATTGGATAAATTTTATTTTGTATACCCAAAATTTCCCCTTTTTGTGAGGACTTCAACCCTCAACCTTCTAGTTGGAAAGTAGAGGAGACATCATTATAGCTAATATACATTCAAGGATTAATATAAAAGCTATAATTTTACATTCTGGCAATGTATTTCACCTGAGTACGAAAAATGATGAACGAGGTGGAATCATCAAATTTATGGCTGATAGGTATTTCCATTACATATCATTTAGCAAACTAAATATCTTTATTCATCCTACCTCCAATTAATTTCTTTTCCATTGCCTCCATGTTTTTCAAGTTCCATACTGAGTATAATTAATTACTTCAGAGTTTAAAGCATTCTGTTTAAGACTGTTGATTGCATAAGTTGAGATGATTTACTGTTATTGTACAGAACTTTTCAATAAGTTAAATATATTCTTTTTATAAAAAAAATTGTTATAAAATATTATATGCCATAGCCCCCTCAATCAATTGAAAAATTACAGAAATTAAGTTTAAATCCTTGCAGCATATACACATAAATTATAGATAGATTAAAGAGCATTATAACAATATGAAAATTAAATTCATTAAAAAAAAAACCTATGATACAATTAATAAATAAGCAAGAATATTAGAGATTCAAACTGTATATTGCATCTATGAAACCATATATATCGTTGCTTTCAGTATCTTCCCGTGAAATTAAATTACCTTGACGAGTCTACGTAGCAAAGACGGGAAAGCAGCAAAGAATATTATAGAAGCGCTAAGACGAGTCAAGGAGAAAACCAATATCCCAGAGTCAGTCACCTCGTTGAGGAGAAATAATGTACTCCTCAAATATGACTTGAGAAGTGGCCTCAGTGTTTTCCACTTTGAAGTATTCTTCAACTCCAAAATAGTCCCTTTCCTGCAACCGGATGGAGATATTTTTAGAAGCCCCCGAAATATATTATCAGCCTCTCGAAGCATGAACATCAATATATTGCAGAACGTTTCACTGTTCTGAATTCCATGACAAGACCCAGCACCATGGATACTGAGTGATTCAGATCCATAATGGCACGCAGCCCGATACCCATTTAAGAGATTAGTAAGGACAGATTCTCTATCCTCCATCATGACTAATTGACACCAAGAATTAACAGCAGAATTCGTCAATAGTTTTCTCTTTTTTATAACAAAGCCATCTTCATCCACAGACTGGACGCCATGATTACTCATCTCATCTTCATCTGATAACTGTAAAGCAGGTAAAAAAAATACCAATTCATATTCATACAATTTAAAAATAGCTAAGAAATATACTTTGAAAAAAAAAAAAAAAAACCTAAGATATAAAGCAGGTTAGAGATGAGAACTCAAACTGCCAGCCTTGCTGAGATTCCAACAGAAAACAGCATCCATGTGATATATCTAATTTCAGAAACAATATAAAACACATGATACCTTTTTCTTTTTTATTCCAAATCACTGAGATAAAGTTCTGCACAAACAGTGGCGGATCCAGGGGGGGGCTTGGGTGGGCTTGACTCGCTTGAGCCCCCCCCCCCCCCCCCAAAAAAAATTTTTTATTTATTTATTTTAGTATAGGTATATTTAGCCCAATGTTTTAAAAAAGAAAATATTAGTAGTAGTATTAGCCCCCCAATTTTAACCCATCCAAACAAGCCCAATATCTAAGCCACAATTTTAAAACAAAGGCCCAACCAAATAGGCCCAAGCCGAACAAGCCCTAAACAATCACTAAGGCAAAGCACAGAGAACTCCTAAATTCCTAATCTTGCACAAATCAGAGAGCTCACTCCTCTCTCTCTAAAGTCTAACCCTATTTCCACTAAAATTTTCCAACTCTTTAATCTTTCGATTCCTAATTCCCCCTTTTTTAATATTAGCCCCCCTATTAACAATTCTTGGATTCGCCCTTGTGCACAAATATCCTTTACTTCTAAAATTGCATTTCCTATTAGATATTTTGTGTTCAAAATTAGGACGCAGTTCTGAGAATTGAGAAGAATAGAGTTTTTTGTGGCACATACGGCTTAATGTGGAAGCTTATCAGCAAATATAAGGAGAAAATATAAGCCACAATAATATTTGTTCTAAGAGGTCTTACTTAAGTTTCAGTTTAACGATGAAATTCCTATATTTGATGCTTATGAGGTCCATTTTCAGAATACAGGCTGAAGTTCTAACTTAACTTAAGTTTCAGTTATAGATCAGCTATATTATGTTAAACGGGATTCAATTAGGTAAAGTGGATGCATATGCTTACTATCATCAACCAAACAAGTTGCTTGGGATGAAATCCTTTGGATGGATATTAAACATCACCTAAATGCACGGCACAATTTTACGGCATAAAGTGAATTAAGCAAAATAATGTAAAGAAACAACTGAAATCACTAAATCCATCTTTAAAAAAGCATCTTCAGCTTAAGGCCTATTTCACAAAAGGTTAAGCCAGGCAATGGCACTATACAAATATGACTATCCAAGGTCAATGGTGTTAAACACCAAGAAGAATTCTTCATCTCACTCATCGAATTGAAACTCAAGGAGCTTCCTCTTCCCCAAATACAAGTTCTCTTGTAAGCTGTAGGCAGATCAGAAGGATGGTCTTAAAAACCTTCCTAGTCTTAATAGTTTCTGTTTTTAGGTGTCAAGATTTGTGTGTGTTTTAACAAAACCTACAGCTTACAAGGGTCATACACCCAATTGTGTTAACCCACAAACTTGCCTCTACCTTACAAAAGTACATCCAATTGCATCTAGTATGGGGACATATAATTGATCTTATATACTAATGCAAAAATGACAAAAGAGAAGAAACTAAAGTTAATTCACGTCTCTTTCTAAATATTTAACCAAGCATAGCACAATACATTAATTATCCAATTTATCCTTATACACAGTAATACCTGCTATACAATTGAGACATACTACAGAACCATTTTATATCAATTTTTTACTTTTATTTTTTGTTTGGGTAGCAGCTAATTTTTATATCATCTTCAAGATTAACAAAAAAAATTTTGTCAAACTATTGGTTATCAAGACTAAAAGTACTTCTGAACACATAGCTTACCCGATCTTCAGTTCTGAATGCTACAGCACCCCCATTATAGCTTTCTAAGAACTTTGCAAACTCAGGATCCTGAAAATTTTCCAGAAATGTAAATGAATAACAGTAAGGAATAAGTTTAAAAGATAAGGAATGAGGAAGAGAAAATAATTGGACATCAAGCTACATATTAGAGAAAATTGTGGTTGGTATCTATAAAAATTTACATAAAGTCTGGTCAATCTAAACTAATAGGTACCACAAATAAAAAAGAAATATAGAAAGAATCGTGTAGATGCATCTCGATGGTGGTCCCTTTTTCTTTTTCATTTGAAAGCATCTGCTAATCACTATATCACCTGGCAGGCACCATTGAAAATTACTGAAGTTATCCTTTGTTTTCATTTAATTTCTAATCAGGATTTCAATAAGGTCCCTTATCTCAGATTAAGTAAATATGAAACTAAAAGCAGCAAAATGCCAAAATTGTCTAAATTAAGGTCTAGTCTGCTGATGTGTTAAAAATTCAAAGACATTCACATCTGCTCTAGAAAAACTGATCAATATATAGTTATACACTATGTCTCATCTTATCATTATTATTTATACATCAAAAATAAAATAAAATAAAAAATCAATTTTAACGAGTACTGATTATCTTGTCAAACATTTGACTTCAGGGTAACATATTTCTCGTGGTGCCATGACAATGTCTGCAATCAGAAAGGGAGATTGTGTTTCCAACAACATTGTATTAGTTATGTCTCCGTTGCATTTAATATTTCTGGACCATCAAAAATAAATACAGAAATAACCTTTTGAGGATCTTGATATCCAATGTGGTGAACTTGGGAATCACATTCCATGAGAAGACCCAGTAAAAGTAATTTTATAAAGGTAGAAAACCCTAGAATTATTCCCCAAAGGTATTGATCACTAGAAAATTGAGCAACAACTGTATATTATAAATATTACTGCAAATTATATTGATATAATTGTTTATGTGCTAAATGCTAAACAACAAGGATCTTCAAGTATTTCATTATATGACTACATCCAACAATTGAAAAGTAACAGGAATGAACACATGCATTGCCACATTACATAACAAATTCTTTTTCCCTACTCTACTCTTTTGCTGTGATATGTGGTAAAACTAACCGATAATGGAACATCAAGCGAGTTTGGGAGATTAAAGCGATTCAATGTAAATATTAATCCATCAAAAATAATATTTTCTAAATGGAGAAAATAGAAACTAACCTTCTTTTTCAACCTATCCAATTTGTTCTGCTGCGTAGCAAGTTCATCATGAATTTTGCCATTCTGTGCCAACAATGTACTACTCTTGCTGCTGCCTAAATATACGTCAGTCAATTCAAAGAAAAATAAGGATATCGTGCACATATAGTAAAGACGTTGCCAAGAACATATTTCACCTTCCAGAATGCTCTCGCTCCCACTTTCTGCAATGTCTGAACAGCTTGAGTCCTGACCATTAAACCACGAAAGTTTTGGTAAATCCAAAAGAGAAAACAAATGAAAGATCAATGTGAGATGTTTCTAGCATTATCCAATTCAAAAACCTCTGAAAGAAATCCATCACTTTCTGAAACATCTTCGTCCACATTAGTGTCATCTTCACTAAAAATTGCATCAAGAGAAACATCTTTGGTTTCTTCACTTTCAAGGTTTCTGAGATCAATAACGAACATGTGAAGAACTAGCCAAGATTAGTAGATGGGCAATGCCTAATAAATGTTCTTCTACGAGTCTAGATGGCATAGTATGATATTTTCCAAATCCCCACTGAATAGAATCGGCAATGGCAACGGAGGAAGAAACAAAATTATGCAAAGAATAGCTAACGACAATTTGCACTAATGGATACTCATTTTATAAAAAAAGTTTAGTTCAAACTCACAAGTATATAAGATGACCATTAAAAATCTTTTACATATAAGCAAGTTATCTTTTTTTAAAAAAAAATTATTTTTATTTTTAACACCTATAAACAAGTTTTATAGGAAGAAATGAACAAAATATGCACTGGGTGACAGCTATTGCATTATGAACAGTCGAATTCAAATACACAAGTCTCCAATCAAGCCAAAGTAAATTTTAATGAAGATTAGTGCGAGAGATCCAGTGGACAACCCCCTAAAAGCACAAGTTTTTATGTAATCATCGCAAAGCAGACAAAACCTACACAGCAAGCATGCTTTTCAATCCAAGCCCTAGTCGTCATTGATCTGTAAGATCTTTATTCATGTTGGGTGTGGGAAACAATTACATAGAAAATGGCTACTCAGGAAACCGAGGGGGAACAAAAGAAAAAGAAAAGAAACATTCAACATTCAAAAATCAGCTTCTTATCAGGAGTCAACATCAGAATAATGAATAAGCCGGAATTCAAGCAAAGAACAGAGTTTAGATGGATAAATTGATCCAACAAGCACTCTGATGATCACCGAATTGTTTCTAAACATAGGTTATAAACAAGTATCTCAGCAAAAGTACACAGCATATCTCTTTCTCATCTAATTTATTTAGGATAGACTAAAGAAAGAGTGTTAAGTGTCATGCGTTATAACGAAGGGAATGTACCTGTCAGTAATAAAAATAGCTCAAATTTCATTTTGAGTATAAAAATATCATAATTCAGGGTTGTCCATTTAATTTCTCCAAACCAAGCGAATCTTATCAGGACTACAAGAAGATAGATAATCCTACACTCTAACCCACATAAATAGTCCATCTGTGAACAATCTTCCATATCTCAACACAAGCTAATGCCTTTTGTGGGGAACAATGTAAAATACCAAATGTTCCTCACTTTACTGCATCAAAGGAAACCTATTGCTTCTATACATTAAATAAAAAAATAATGTATAATCTCTCTCTCCATTTAAATTTTTCATTCAAGTTTAATATTGATACGAAGAGGCCAAATGATATCCAACTTGGTTGATAGATATTTGGCAAGTAAATTTTTGAACAGTGGATGATAAAGTCAAAGAAATGACAATTCCAACGTACTGACATCTTCAAAGTTGAATTCTAGTAGACTACGTTTTCTCCATTTCACTCAAAACTTCAAACTAGAGAGATAGAGAGAGAGAGTCTAAGTTAAAGACCCGCGTCACCCAGGTTTACAAGCACAACATACATGAAAGCAAGTCAGTTTTGTACCAAGGATATATTCCATGCTAAAAGCTGAGCAAATATAATTCAGGGGCTTAAAGGATGATCCCTAAATTTGGCATACCAAACTTATGGTAGGTGGGAAATCGATAGAAGCATAATAGTTATAAATAGGAGTAATTCCTGAGCCAGATAGATCACCGAGGGATGAAGTAATTATAAATGATTTTTAAAAATTAAATCTAAAAGGAGACACGGTGTAAAATAGGAAAGAAAGCCAGAAAGAATAACGATAACTCATGTGACCGACACCATTTATATAGGATAAAGGGAAGGATGATGAAGGCAAAGACAACCTTTTAGAATTATATTCTCCATCAACTCTGAAAATGAATTTCTGCTAAATATACCCTTCTTTCAAAAGAAGGAAAAAAAAAAATAAAAAAAGAATAATAAAAAAAAAAGAATAGAGAGTTTAAGAAAAGGCATTTCCTTCATTCAACAACTGTATGGATGACATCTAGCTACAAGAAATTTCAAATAAGAGAACAATTAGAAAAGTTAAAATTTAAGCCCTGATTACCTATTTAAAGGCATGTAGAGTGAATCCCCTTCATTCAAAAGAAAAAAGGAAAAGAGGGTTTAAAAGAAAAGGTATTTCCTTCATACGACAACTGTATGGGGACATCTAAGTACAAGAAAATTCAAATGAGAGAACAATAAGAGAAGGAAAATTTTAATCCCTGTTTACCTATTTAAAGGCATGTAGAGTGAACTGGACAAAACGACTTAACAAGGAGGATACCCCATTGAATGCATAACAGAAACTACAATGACAAATTGAAGACAGGGAAGTATTGGAAAAACTGAATATAAAAAGCAATGGTTTTACACGATTAAACCATGAAGAGCTGCATTAAGTTCACCTCTTTACCTTGTTTTAGAGATCTCTGCTGTATCCTCCACTCGGTCTTCAACAGTATCCTGCTCATTTTCTGCAGCAAATGAATTGAAAGATAATTATTGTGTTAGAGAAAATAGAAAAGCCCAACTTATCACAAACTTACTCACACTCAAAGCTTAAGCTTGAAAATAAAACATGATTATTATGGTCAAATGCAAAATAGGAGGCTAAAAAGTATTAACCTACTAACCGAAAATATCTCCTTCCCTATTTTCCAAATATTTAAGAGACTAAAAAAAGGTTTGTCAGTGGCATATAGATATAATGCCCCAAAGTAAACAAGTAAAAACTAAACACTCTCTAACTCTAACACCAGCTTTATGCATGAAAGGAATCGATCAAAATTTTACTTGCTACACTTATGACTTAACTGTCAAACTGTTAATAGGACGCATTTCATATATTGCACTAAATCTAGTACATATTTGGATTGGATAATCCAATTATTACAACTACTTATCCAAATTTAGCATGAAGTACCACATGATGATTACAGTAATAAGTGTATGCAATCAAGAGAGCTAATAGCCTAATAAATTCTTGTTTTTTTCTAATGACAAATGGACTCAAGCATGTGCACAAGATGCAAGTGAGTGTCTAGGTATATAACCATTCAGGTTTCATATTCTATACGTTGGGAAAGATGAAGAATTGATATAAAACATGCTTTGTTCGGCACTCATGCTTCCTCGTTCTAAATATAATTTTATATAGAATCAGATTAACTAAATGTCCTCAAGAACTTCTAAAAAAATTAGGAAATCAATCTCCCTCTCTGTCTGCCCAGGTGATTTTGTTCATCTCTCTCTCTCCCCAATCGATTCTGTTTAAACAACATCGATGTCCAACATTCCAAGACATGCCATGTCCAGCATTAGTACTTCGAATATCTTGAGATGTCCATATGACATTGATTTTTTCTTGTCTTTTGACTGTTCCACCATAACAGAGATTTTACAAGTTTATGAAGTGTGAACATATTTGAACCCATTTGTCTTTATCATGGATTCGACAATCCTAGATAGCATATTGTGTTTAAGCTAAATATAAAAATAAAAAATTACAGTTGAGCAATGTGAAACACAAAAATGGTTTCATATGTAAAAATACACACACTTACTTGAAGAAGATCTCTTCTTGAAGAAAGCCTTTGTCTTCCGCCTTTGTTTTAAAACAGACTGAAGATTCTTCTTTGCAAACTTCCTCGCCTTTTTTCCAAGCTTCCCCATTTCTTAAGCTGAGTGAAGAAACAAAAGCAATTCTAAACCACCACCACACAAATTCGAAATCGATTACTGTAATACAATTAAGAGATAGAGGGTGAGGAAGCTGACCAGCGACTGCGAGGAGAGACCCTTGCCAAAAACCTAAAACCCGACGTGGAGAACAGAATACGGAGGAGCAAAGTGTAGAGTGAGAAAGTTTTAGGGTTTAAGAAGATGTCACTCTCTCTCTTCCTTTTTAATCTAACAGAAGATAAAATGACAGAAGTTTGTGAGAGAATAGCCCAACTACCTACAAGCCCTAAACAAACTTTCTAACTTATTTATTTGTAGAGGCTCTTGTAAGTAATTGGGCTGAGCAATTTTTTTCCTAGGGCTTAGCTATGTCTCAAGCCTCATCTAACCCTTTTGACAGTTGGGTTGGGCCTTGGGCTGTGTTTTCATAGGCTAAGGCCTGTTGCCCCCTTTATATGTTCTATGTTACATCAATATATTTTGATTTAACTTTTATATATATATATATATATATATATTTTTTGGATGGTAAAACACACACACTTTTTTGTTCACGCGGGCTCAAACCCCTCCCCACTTCTTTAAAAATGGGGAGGTTATACCATTGGGCCAAAGGCCCTTTGGTAACTTTTATATATTTTGTGGCTACATAAGTAATACAAAATAAAGTTATTGTCTCTTGATCCTATTATATAGTTCAAAATAGTTTTATTTTCCGGTAAGGTAAATTCGATTGAAGTAATACAAATATAAAGTTCTCGCCTCTAGATCCTATTATCCTATTATATAGTTCAAAATATTTTTACTTTCGGGTAGAGTAAATTCCATTGAAATAATTAAAAACGAACAGCTAAATTTAAAAAAGGACATAGTAAATGATAGGAAATAATGAAAAAATAATAATAATTTAAGGTGTCAGGAGACATCTCTATAGTCTATGGATTAAAGGCAAGAATGAGAATGGTGATGGACCGATGATAAGCTAAATTAGATAAGGAGAGAAAAAATAAAGTATGCAAGGCTTGTTGGGCCAAACAGTCAGCCCAACTAGTATATACAGTATACAATCCCAGCCCAACTGAATGGATGGTGAGTGTCAGAGAGTGTAGGAACAAATGGATATCCGATTTCTTGTCATTTAAAAAATATATATTTATTTTACTTTTTCAGTTTAACAATTTGTTGACATGTCTGGTTATTTGATAATTTCAACTTCAATTTCAACCGAACCAGTTTTGAACCACTTAAAATTATTTAATTACGTACCTAAAATCACCGTCTAAAATTATATAATTACGTAACTGAAATTACTAATAAAGAATTGTGACATAGCATCCATAATTTATAATCATTCAACTACTTTTATATGAGTATAAATAAAAAATAAAATGATATTTGATGTCATGATCACATTATACCTAAATAGATTAAAAAAAATAAAAAATCAAATCGAATTAGTCTGCGTATCATTTTCCAACTATTAGACTTTTCTTAGAAATAACCAAAGATGCATGTGTTGCCTTACAGGGCTATATACCCATTAAAATTTCAACATATTGATTGATATATATATATATATATATATATATGTACACACATCTCGCTATGTTATCATCTAGCAACATCGCATGTGGCATTGGTGTGGATGAAAATGCGGTGTCTAAATTACAGCTACATATGGACAAACCACTACCGAAGCCCTCCAATTAAGGGTGATAAAAGCCCAAGTATAGAAAGGAGTCTTCACAAACTTCAAAATCTACTTTCGTTATAGATCCATTTTCATTTATATGTTCTTGCAACAAATTATAATATACTTCTATAATTCTCACATATAAATAATTGCAGAGTATATATTTATAAGATAAGATAAAAATAAGTAAGGTAAAAAATAAGCTTGTTGCTATCTATTGGAGCATGTCAAAAAAACCGATTCCTGCATTACTCGTGAACACTACTACTCCCAGAATCTTGATCAACTTCAACTAATTCTTCCGGGATGAATATTGGTATGCACCTATATATATAGTAGTATATATATACATCTTTTGTATCAATATATATATATATATATATATATATAAAAGATGTAGAGTCACACCCATCAATCACAGGAAAAAAAAAAAAATCATCCTAGGAGTTCCAATTCATGTCGGGTAGCTGATAAGGTTGTCTCAAATCGCCATCACCAAGTGATGAGCCAAGAAGTGCATTTGGATATAAAGAAGAAGTTTGTGGCAGCTGATTGAGCAGAGAGACATAGGAGTCATTTCCAGTAGTCGTCCCATTGCTTGTGTTGTAGTGATGATCAGCATGATATCGCTTCCCCAACGACGATCCAACGGACCCCATTTCATTCCATTGTTGAGATGGGAGTGATCGTTTCACACTGGAGCAGACCATGGCCGCACTCGAAGAAGCCAATTGTGACATGGAGCTATCAAATAAATTGTCTTCATTCTTGAGCAATATTGCCCCATCATTCATAGCCCTTGAAGTTTGATTTTGATGCTCGTCCATATTTGAATTCGACATTAGCATATCATCCATGGAATCATCCCCGTCCAGCTCCATCACTCTGTTCGAATTGTTTTTCTTGTAAATCCGGCATAACACCCAATCATCAAGCTACATACACAAGAATATATATATATATATATATATATATATATATATATATAATCAATCATATAATAGCATATCAAATTTAATTTTAAAAGCTTATAGGTATGTACCCGCAAAGAGTTGTTTTTGGTGGGAGGAGGTTTGGTGGTTGAACTGTGATCCACAAGTCTATACTCATGCATGATCCAATTGGTTTTGATCCCTTTAGGAGGCTTTCCACAGTAGAAAACAAGTGCTTTTTTCACACCAACCTTGTGAGTTCCATTAGACGTTAGTATGGGCTTATCTGTGCCCGTAGCTTTCCAGTACCCGGAAGTGGCCGCCCGATTAGGCCTAGCCCCATTCGGGTACTTCCGGTCTCTAGGACTGAAAAAATACCACTCTTGTTCACCAAATGTCGCCTTACCTATATATCACAATAAATCAAATTAATCACCACATATTCAAATTAATTAAGACATGAATGAAATTCATACTTGGAAGCTCCCATGGATCGAACTTGTAGAGATCAATTTCGGCAATGATTGTAACAGGTAAGGGGACGGAAGCGGCCTTGTTTTTGAGGTAATGGACTACGAGCTCTTCGTCGGTGGGGTGGAATCGGAAACCTGGTGGCAGATGAGGGTGTTGATTGGCCGACGATGAATCCGGGATCTCCATCACTCCACCTAATTTTTAGATTCTAGTCCCATACAGTGTATATATATGTTTGTATGTGTATTAAAATATGGCAAATTAATGTTACATGGAACAGACAAATATATTTGGAAGAGCAGGGGTGGGGGAGGGCGAGTGTATGGTTGTACAGTACATTGTACCGAACACCCACCAGTTGTTATGTGACACTTGCCAGTCACTTGACCTGGGGTTTGGGGACACGTGTTGGGTTGGAATGTATGGGGACCACTTCCACGCACTAGGCAACCAATTGGAACAAACTGTAAGCTTTTGATGTCATGCATTTCTTATGTAACAGACAAACCCCTCAATCCAAGAAAACAAAATTTCTCCCGCTCAGGATATTTTTTATTTATTTATTTTTGTTAAAAATTAATTTTTTTTTAGTAATGGTTTACGAGTCTATGACTAATTTTTAAAAGATGTTAATGTTGTGTTTGGAAGTATCCAATTAGTATCTTAGATTTGGAATTTGAAAAAATTTAATAAAAATTTTGAACTAAATTCCCTTCTATCAAAAATCCAAACATAACATTAATGTTATATATTGGAAAATGTTTAAATATATGAAATTAAAGAATGTTAGAGAATTATTATTATTATTATTATTTTCGGAGCGGGATATAATCACCTAATTTGTTCCGTGTACAATTTTAATTCTTTTAATTTATTCCCGGGAAAATAAATAAAAATCTTGCAACATCATGGTAAAGGCATACCAATTTTAGTGCTGGTGTGAGCTGGTAGATGCTCTGAATTTAGGGAAGTTAGGATTAGAAAAAACTAAAGCGCGCGCATATATATATATATATATATATATATATATATATATATATATATATATATTTGATAGTTTGTCTTGTATGAACAAATAGAGATTTGGTGTGAATTTGGGTGTGTGGATGCAAAGAATATGGAAATTCATGTATGATGGTTGTTACAGGACTAATGATGATGAGGTCGATGGATCACAGTTGTTGAAACACTGGATTGAAAACCAATGTCACCATTATTCTATAGGCTGTTGAATCCCGCATGGATGCCAAGAATCAATACATTCCACCATGTATAATGCAATAACAATTGCATCAACAGTCTATCGCATTTTGAAAAAGTAGGCAACAGATTAGGGTAAATTGTAATGTTAAACAATTAAATTAATTGTGTGTTCAGTTGCATAGAATTAAAGTTTTGAAATTGAAATTGGTGAAATTTGAAAAAAAATAATTAAAAAAATTGAGCCAAAATTTTTTCAAATTCCACAAATTTTAATTCTAAAGCTCTAATTTTATGGAACCAAACACACTTTAAATTAAAGTTCTGAAGTGTAACAAATACATTTTATTAAAAGTAATACGACTGTCATCCTTCCTTTCACTTGTGCCTTGTGCTTTCTTAGTTTGTAATCCTAATACTACAAAACTTTTTCTGAACCTTAATTTCTATAAAAGGAATAGTTACATTTTAGACCAAATGAACCATATAAGTAAAATTAAACTGTGCGAAAGGGCCATATTTAGATATTTCATAGTCAAAAGGGATGCAAAGCATGTGGCGAAATGATCTTCATATTTAATTTCATGAGTTTAGTAAACCTAACTTACCCTTTTATCTTCTAACTATTGAGATGGGAAGAAGTAAGTAATTCATGTGTGTCATGTATATTATTTTTTTATTTTCATCTTAACTTTAAGAAATGACTAAAGTTGTAAGTCACTTGGGGCATTGTATCACATTTATCAAATTTAAGGTTACACTTCCCTTAAGTGTAAATAATTTCTTGGAGTCATGCTCATGAGTGAAAGTCTCAATTTTACTCGGCCTGCGTGGAGGGGCGCTTTGCACAGTGTCTTGGGATTAGTCAGGAAAATGCCCTAATGTGCGTGGAGGGACACTTTGCGCGGTGTCTATGTTATGTTCTTAGAGACCTTAATAACAATTTAAAATATCAAAAGGCTTGTAAAGGAATTAAGTTGTTCAAACTTGTATTTTAAGTTCGTTTAAGAAACAAATTTGAACAACCTATAATCAACTCCAACTCATTAGACTCATGAACATGTTCATGAATAGGTTCAATAAGGCTCATTAATATGAAACATTTATTAGAAAATGCTTATAGTTATTTTTTCGTGTTAACAATTTTTATCTCAAGCTGGAGTTTGATATCGAGATCAAATTGAAAGTGACTAAACAAATCAAACAAGATGAGTTCAAGCTCAATGAACAATGTTGAGCTTGTTGGTAAAGTATATGTTTCATGTGACATTTAAGATATAACAAACCTTATACTAATATGTCATGAGATAATTAACAATATGCTAAGAAATCTTTAATTAAATATGCAACTCTATATTTAATTAAATATGCAAAATAAATTAATAAAATCATAATAATCAATAAAGAACCTGAACCGAGGCTAGTATTGGATACTATGTCCTTAAGACAGATTCGCCCTGCTATGGTGCTAACGGACTCAGTGGCGTCTATTTCCCAGGATACAACGGTCTACATCCATCAGTAGCAGCACTACAAACTCGTGGATACGGCGAACCTTCTCTGTGTAATACTCTTTCTGACTCAAAAATGCATCTATACTATATAAATGCTGAATTGGGTGCAATTCGAATCAAATGGTTCGGACCAATCTTAATATGGCTCAATGAAATTGGATTAGGGTCTAAGTGGTTCGGACCACTTAACCTATGGTTTGAACCCACTTGGGTTAGATTCAAGTCTAGAGAAGGAGATAGAAGAAAATGAAAAAAATGAAAAATAACCTGCAAATGATCCAAAGGGGGGTATTTATAGAAACAGAAATGCCTTTTCGGATTGGGTGCATCTCTTCATCATTAGACACAACCATTGCAATAGGTTGCAATGGTTCACATGGTGTCTGTTCACCAATAGACACATTCATTTCAATAGGTTGCAATGGTTCACATGGTGTTTGTTCACCACTCGACACATCTATTCCAATAAGTTGCAATGGTTCACATGGTGTCTGTTCACCAATAGACACATCCATTCCAATAGGTTGCAATTTGCCTTTTCGAGTGGGTGCAACCATGGGTTATGATGGTTCAGAAAAAGGTGTAACCCTTTGAAAAAATTAAAAAGTGGTTTTTTTATTTAAAAGGTGTAACCCTTTAGAAAAACTAAAATATGATTTTTTAATTTAAAAGGTGTAACCTTTTAGAAAAACTAAAAAGTAGTTTTTTTAATTAAAAAAGACCAACTACCCAAAAAACCCACCCATTTGTGAAACCCATTTAAATAAGCCCAGTCTAAAATTAGGCCCAATCCAAAATTCCAAAAAAGAATAATCTGGACTTTACAATTAGGCCCAAGCCCAAGCCCAAATCCTAAACTCAGCTTATTTAAATTTCAATTTGTTTCAACATTTTTTTTTTCATGTGGGACAAACACTTCCCACATTTTGCATACCCATTTAAGCTTATCAAAACACCACACTTTGGAGCTAATTTCTCATTCATCCGGAAACGGATTTCAAAAAGTAAATATACCACGTTCATTTCCTTGCGGAGAGAAACGCGCTTGTCTAGAGATCCGTAAAAAATATTAGCGGAATCTATTTCAAAGCTCATCCAAAGTTTATGTTTTTAATGCTCCCGTTTCCAACAAGCTGAGATTGTATAGTACTCTTATATGGCTCGACTTAAGTTTGTATGGTCGAAAATTTGAGTCTCCTCAGCTTGCTTGTAACCCTAACTAAAATAGGGAACTTTTAAACACCTTTGCACAGATTTGAATTGTGAACTTGTGCACAAATAAAATAAAATAAAATAAAATAAAGTATATATAAAAGTGTTTCCATCATTTCAAAATATATATACATATATATGTGTGTAAATATCAATGATAGTAAGAATAAAACCATGGGAGGTGATAAATGTATTTGTTTTAAACGTGAAATGAGATTATGTACCTTTTCTATTTTTTGGCTTTCATATTGCAATCAACAATAGTCACTTGAGAACTATACAAAAATGATTGCAGTTATGGAAGTTATGCATTCTACTGTGAATAGAAATTAATGGAGAAGATATTCTATGAATATGTTCAATCTTCAAGTTGGAAACTAATATTATCATTGTGAAGTTTAAAGATCTTCTAGTATAACATTGTTGGGAACAGTGTGACCCAAAAAATTATACAAGGGGAGGCGTCCTTGAATGACAATAGGAAATACATATATTTTTTTCAAGTAATCATAATAACCAAAAGAATTTAACATTAATTGATATTTTCATTGAGTATATTTACAAATGTTCTTAACAAGTTTTTATATAATAACTCCATTATCTATGTGTAGATAATCACGCGATGTCACTCTCCGTGTGGCATTCTCTGTTAATGAGGTACACCTAGCCAACCTGACCAACTCTGATCGGACCATCTCTAGTCTTACTTGGCACCTCCCTGATGAGGCCAATAGTCTCGAGCTACTGAGTTTGAAATAGCAAATGCTGCAAGGGCAAGGGGTCATTACCCTTCGCTCTCCTGTGGAGGTACCCTACTCCAGTCGGACAGGTCTCTCCATCCCATCCCTGAAGCTCCCTTTTGTTACTTATTTATCTAAGAGATTTCCTACCTCGGGCACCCTTGCAGAAAGAGTGCTTGAGACACAGGCAAGGAAGGAAAGTTCGAGGCCCCAGAAGGTAGGCCCTCAAGAAGTCTTTCTTTCTTCTCTCTGATTTCAGAAATTTGAGAAACAGTGGACATGCAGTTGGAATTCAAGGGACCGCCTTGACTTGAGGTTTACACAAAGGGGGAAAAAATGTTTATTACCATCGACCGAGTTCTTAAAATAGGCATGAGCAGTGCATTAAATGCCTTGGTTCATTGACAAGACTTGCATTAAATAGGATATGATTACTACCTCGATTAGAGCCATAACCTACCTCGGGTCAACTGCTGGTGTCCTATCGTCAGGAGATAAAACCCTCGGTCCATCGGGTAAGGGAAAACTTACCCTCATGACCAAAGGTCTTTTACCAAGTGAAAGAGTAGTATAAATAAAAACGGTAATTAGCCATTAAACACGCACCAAA